CTTGTAAATAAGTATACGTTTTGGGGCCTGATTTCCTCTTTAAAACACGAGTCTCAGCTTCCAAATAGACCCTATTTAAGCTGCACACACCCCCCCCCCCCCCTATTAGAATCCCTATGAAGGACTGCTAGTATAAGGGGGAACATCCCAAGGTGGGGCCCTTACTCCCGTTTTTAGGATTTAGGCGCACTTATGAGTCCCTGTAGCCCAAAAAGGGCACTCTTCGTATTCCTAGGTTAATTACTCTTGGGTCTAGAAGATTTGTCTCATCTGCCGCCAGGTGGACAGCCCAAGAACACGTTGTGGTGGCCTCTTTCTTTCGGGTAGCGTCGATTGCTTCTTCCATTGAGGGACCCCTAAACCCTAAACCCTAAACCCTAAACCCTAAACCCGAAACCCTAAACCCTAAACCCTAAACCCTAAACCCCAATCCCTAAACCCTAAACCCTAACCCTAAACAAAGCAGGCGTGCACCTCGGAGATGCTTGATCGCACACACGCACACACTTACACCTCGTCGATGGCTCTGGCCCCATTTTGTCTCCGAAGATAGCTGGTTTAGGGTTTAGGGTCTGCAGTGTCCGGACATCTTGACCATTCGGTCATGTTGCCCATTCGGTAGAGCGGCCGACTGCAGTGACGACAGCAGAAAGCTGATGGAGTTCAGATTGTTTCGTCGCATGCGGTGCTGAACGCCCCTCCCCCCCCGAGAAATTTCAACCCACAACCTAAGACCCCAAATACCCGAAGTCCAGACCCCAAAAGCCCCTGACCTTGAGAGCCCCTAAAACCTAACGCAAGCCCGAGGAAGCCAAAACCGTGATAGGCCCCCTTAAACCTTAAACACCAAACCCGAAACGCTAAACCCCCAACCCTAAACCCCAAACCCCAAACCCCAAACCCCAAACCCTAAACCCTAAACCCTAAACCCCAAACCCTAAACCCCAAACCCTAAACCCTAAACCTTAAACCCTAAACCCTGACTGCCCTCAGGATCACCACCATGCAGGAGAACCTGCAGGCGGAGGCCACCAAAAAGGCCTACTGCGACAAGGAGCCTGCGACTCGAGGGTTCTGTATTTTTTTTTGAAGGTTTAGGGTTTAGGGTTTAGGGTTGTCCGAGCCTGGGTTCAAAAGGGTTTAGGGTTTAGGGTTTAGGGTTTGGGGTTTGGGGTTTGGGGTTTGGGGTTTGGGGTTTGGGGTTTAGGGTTTAGGGTTTGGGGTTTAGGGTTTAGGGTTTTTGGTGTTTAGGGTTTCGGGTGTTTGGGAGGGTCAGGAAGGCCCGAGCCTGAGATTCGAGGGTTTTTTGAGAGGTTTTTTTTTTTGGGCGGGGGGGGGGGGGGGGGTGGGTTCTTGAGTTCTGGGGACAGGGTCAGGGGTTTGGGGGGTTTTAGGGTTCAGGGTTTAGGGTTTAGGGTTTAGGGCTTAGGGAAAAGTAGGGGGGCCCTGTGGCGAAGGAGATGGGCGAGGCGGCCGCCAAGAAGGCCGGGAAGGAGGGCGACCTCGATGACGTGAGCACCAAGATCGACGCGGCCGCGTCCAAGTCCGCCATGCTGCAGCTCGATGGATGGGTTTAGGGTTTGGGGTTTGGGGTTTAGGGTTTGGGGTTTGGGGTTTGGGGTTTGGGGTTTAGGGTTTGGGGTTTGGGGTTTGGGGTTTGGGGTTTGGGGTTTAGGGTTTAGGGTTTAGGGATCATGCTCAGTTTCGCTCTCCCATGAAGATCTTGAGGGGTTGCTTTGGCATTCAGCAGGCACCGGCTTCAAAAGGGGTTATGCACAAGGGTCTAGGGGATAACCTCTTTCTTCGGCTTAGAGAGCTTTCTAGGTAAGCTTTTGGGGCATTCTATGTGTTCCCTTCTTGCTTGGGTTTGAGAGCCTAAACCCTAAACCCTAAACCCTAAACCCTAAACCCTAAACCCTAAACCCTAAACCCTAAACCCTAAACCCTAAACCCTAAACCCTCGAGTCGAAACCCTAAAATTTGTGGGGAACGATGGGGAGTCCGGCCTGAGAGGATTGGCAAGAGAAGGGGCCTCCGTCATCCCAGCTCCCTGAGCCCTAAGCCCTGTAAACTCCATAAACCTCACAAACCCTGTAAGTCCTGTAAGCCCTCTAAACCCTGTAAAGCCCTATAAGTCCTGTAAGCTCTTTGAACCCTAAACTCATTTTTTGGGGGGGCATCAGGGTTTATAGTCGAGAGGTTGGACATCAGCCGGTCGACATGCGTACTGCTTTCAACAAAAGCCCTCTATAATATAGATTATAATGCTTAGGGTTAAGGTGGGTTAGGGTTCAGGGTCTAGGGTGCTCCTGAATCATGGATTCGCACAGCTTTTCGTACGTAGCCACGAGTCCACGAGTGCTAGGTCTGAGAGTTTTTGCTGAGCCCGGATGCGACGAGGGTTTGTACTAGGCTCTTATTCCCTTTTTAAGGGCTTCCGTTCCCTTGTAAGCGCCTTCAAACCAAAAGCAGGGCACCCTTCTTATTCCTAGGTTACTCTTGGGGCTAGTATGTTGGGATGGTTTTTCCTTATAACCCTAAACCCTAAACCCTAAGGCCCCAAACGTCTAGGCCTTGGGGTCGATGGTTGGGCCTTAAACTCAGCAGGGCTTAGCGTTTAGGGCTTAGGGCTTAGGGTTTAGGGTTTTGGGCTGGTTCCAGGTGCCTTTAGGGTGCAGGTTTGGGAGTTTTGTGTGTTTAGTGTTTGTTCTTTTTGATTTAAGGTTTAGGGGGTTAGGGGTTTAGGGAGTTTAGGGGTTAGGGGTTTAGGGGTTAAGAGGTTTAGGGGTTCAGGGGTTTAGGGGTAGGGGTTAGGGTACTGCTGCGCCGAGGAAGAAGCAGGCTGGAGTTGCCAAAAGCTGAAGGGAGTGGCGGGCTTCCTCAAGATAATCTGGGCTCCAAACCCCAAACCCCAAACCCCAAACCCCAAACCCTAAACCCTAAACCCTAAACCCTAAACCCTAAACCCTAAACCAGCGCCCCCCTTGAAGTGTTCAGGTGGTGGCCATCAAGGCCGAGCTCGCCACGCTGGCGGAGACGCAGGCGAACATGACCGCCCTGCGCCAGGAGGAGAAGGCCCTCTTCCAGACGAAGGACGGGTTTTAGGGTTTAGGGTTTAGGGTTTGGGGTTTAGGGTTTAGGGTTTAGGGTTTAGGGTTTGGGGTTTAGGGTTTAGGGTTTAGGGTTTAGGGTTTAGGGTTTAGGGTTTAGGGTTTAGGGTTTAGGGTTTAGGGTTTAGGGTACCCGAAGGTGCCTAAACCTCTGGGCTCCCTCAACCCTAAACTCCCTAAACCCCTAAGTTCCCCTCAGGCATCACAACTCGTCCCAAACAGGGGCGTATGAGATCTTAGGGTTTAGGGTTTAGGGTTTAGGGTTTAGGGTTTAGGGCGACTGTGCGGTTCTTTGCTCAGGGCTTGAGGTCTAGTTTGGGGTTTAGGGTTAAGTGTTTAGGGCCCCCGAGCCCTAAACCCCAAGCAGAGCGAAACCCAAAACCCTAAACCTTAATCCTAAACCCCCAACCCCGAAGCCTAAACCCTAAACCCCTAATTGCCTAAGCCTAAACCCTAAACCCCAAAAAACCCCCCAAAAACCCCAAAAAAACCCGAAAAACCCCAAAGAACCCCTAAAAACACCGAAACACCTCTAAAAACCCCTAAAAACCCCTAAACCCCTAAACCCCCAAACCCCTAAACCCCCAAACCCCTAAACCCCTAAACCCTATACCCCTAAACCCCCAAACCCCCAAACCCCCTAAACCCCCTAGACCTCAAAGCCTCAGCCCAAAGAGCCCAATATTCCTTAAGTCATATAGGGGTCCTTAATATGATTTAAGGAATATTCCTTAATATGAGTTAACGAATATTCCTTAATATGATTTAAGGAATATTCCTTAATATGATTTAAGGAAATATTCCTTAATATGATTTCAGGAAACATTCCTTAATATGATTTAAGGAAATATTCCTTAATTAAGCAATATTGGGCTCTTTGGGAGCCCTCCTAAACCCTAAACCCCTAAACCTCAAAGCCTCAGCCCTCTAGAGGAGCCAGAGACGGTGACCGGCATGGAGGGCGTGAAGTCGGCGCTGAAGACCCTGCGCGACTTCTACAAGAGACCAGGGCTAGGGTTTAGGCTTTAGGGTTTGGGGTTTGGGGTTTAGGGTTTGGGGTTTAGGGTTTAGGGTTTAGGGCTATAGACCTCGGGGTTTAGGGTTTAGGGCTAGTCCTCTGGCAAAAGGGGTTTGGGGTTAGGGGTCTCACGGGCAATTTTGTTCTAATGGGCCTCAGGTTTGGGACTTAAGCGTCTCAGGTTAGGGCTGCAAATCTGAGAGTGTGTGTGTGTGTGTGTGTGTGTGTGTGTGTGTGTGTGTGTGTCCGTGCTTTCGGGTCAAGTAGGAATTGGAAGCCTCAGGGTTGTTAACGGGCTTCGGGTGGAGGGGCGAACCCCTTCCTGGATGTAACAAAAGTGTCTTGGGAATTTTGGGGTGTGGATTCTTCATCCTCCCAGAATACTCGTAGAGCCCCTACTTGGAGGTTCACGGGTACCCATAGGTAGGATGGTAAGTACCCCAAGTAGGGCTATAACCATAGCTACCGTACTTAATATTAAAACCCTACTTATAAGTACACATGAACCTCCAAGTATTCTCGTGGAGTACGAGCGGGGACGAATTTAGCATTCGCCGGGGCTCTCTGGCGACGAGACCGTCGTTTAGATTTCAGTCGGTTCTGCTTCGAAGGGGCCATGCAGAATTTTCGTTTTCAAGGGGTTCCCCTAAACCCCAAACCCTAAACCCCTAAACCCCTAACCCCTAAACCCTAAACCCTAAACCCTAAACCCTAAACCCTAAACCTTAAACCCTAAACCCTAAACCCTAAACCCTAAACCCCTAAACCCTAAACCCTAAACCCTGAACCCTAAACCCTAAACCCCATTTGCCACCAGGAGCTCCGGCATCAAGGTGACCAGCGGCGAGCGCAAAGGCGCGGCCGGCGGCGTCATGGGCCGCCTCGAGGACGTTGAGGCCGTTTAGGGTTTAGGGTTTAGGGTTTAGGTTTAGGGTTTAGGTTTAGGGTTTAGGGTTTAGGGTTTAGGGTTTAGGGTTTAGGTTTAGGGTCTAGGGTTAGGGTTTAGAGTTCAGGGTTCAGGGTTCAGGGTTTAGGGTTTAGGGTTTAGGGTTTAGGGTTTAGGGGACTCCAAAGATGGACCAAGACAGGCGAGAACGGCTTTTCAGAAGCCAGCTGTAGAACATTTTTTCGACTGGTGCCAAAAGGGATTTTGCCAAAACGGATCAAAATACAGAGTTCACGCAAGGGTCTGGGAGGCGCGTAGGGTTTAGGGTTCAGGGTTTAGGGTTTAGGGTTTAGGGCCCCTGAAAACGCCCCTAACAAGCCCCCTTGACAGCCCCCAACAAGCCCCCTAAAACACTAGAAGACGCTACCCAGGCGTACCAATACCCCTTACTTCAGGAATCTACCTGAATTATACGAGGATCCTTCATAAGATTTAAGGCATATTCCTTAATTAAGCGGTATTGGGCTCTTTGGGCAAGACCCTCACAACGGCCACAAAGCCTGAAAATCCGAAACGCCCGAAAAGCCCTCAGGCCTCCTCAAGCAGCCCCTAGAAAGCCCCTAACAAGCCCCTAAACCCTAAACCCTAAACCCTAAAACCCTAAACCCTAAACCCTAAACCCTAAACCCTAAACCCTAAACCCCCCTGAGCCCTCGGAGGCCGACATGGCCATGAGCCTCTCCCAGATGCGCGCAGCGGAGAAGACTGCCCAGGCCGGCTTCGAGCGGGACGCCCAGGACCTCTCAGGGTTTAGGGTTTAGGGTTTGGGGTTTAGGGTTTAGGGCTAGGGTTTAGGGGTTCTGAGGAGCTGGGGCCCCGGAGAAGCTCAGGGCCATGTCGGCCTACGAGGGCTCAGGGGCTTTTAGGTTTAGGGTTAGGGTTTAGGCTTGGGCTCCCCGCAAGCGCGCACCCGGGGTTTGAGGGTTTAGAGGGTTTATAGGGTTTCTAGGCTTGAGAGGGTTGGGGGGTTGGGGGTTTAGGGTTGAGTTACCCTAAACCCTAAACGTTTCAACCCCAAGCCCCACACCTTAAACCCCAAGCCCAAAAGGCCCCAACCTTCCGAATGAGCTCTTTGATACGGGCCCCTCCCCATCTTGCGACCACGCAGGATTTAGGGTTGGCTTAGTAGCTGAATGAGTACACTCTACACTTTCTGGGATACTACAATCCCCTGTAGAACTGAAAAGTGTACACTTTTTGGGGGCTTATGAACTCAGCAACTAGGTTGGGGTTCAGGGTTCAGGGTTCAGGGTTTAGGGTTTAGGGTTTAGGGTTTAGGGTTAGGGTTTAGGGTTTAGGGTTTAGGGTTTACGGTGTTTGTCAGTGCTTGGAGGTATACCAGTAGCATGCACCTGCGACGACGAGGTTTTGGGCTCCCCATGTACTTGGTAACCCAGTGGTACTCTTTTCCCTTTGTTTGGTTCAAGGTTCCCTTATACAGTAACTAACCCAAAAAGGGTGCCCTTATTATAATATGGTTGCTGGGCTACCAGGTGTAAGATTTTCAGCCGAGTTCAGGACATGAAGCTTGAGAAGACGCAGAAGGAGAAGGACATTGAGTACAAGACAGCCGAGGCACAGCGCCTGGACGGCGAGCTCAACGACCTGAATGCTGATCAAGAGAGCATGCAGACGCTGGGCACGTGTTGAGTTAAGTTTAGGGTTGGTGGTGGGTTTAGGGTTTAGGGTTTAGGGCTTAGGGTTTAGGGTTTAGGGTGTAGGGTTTAGGGTTTCGGGAGCCCTTAAACCCGAGTCCAAAATCGAGCCGTGCCATCGGCTGGAGGACTTTACTTCTCACCGAGGTCAGTTTTTTTTTTTTTTTTGGGGGGGGGGGGGGGGGGGGGTTAGGGTTTAAGGTTTGGGGTTTGGGGTTTAGGGTTTGAGGTTTGGGGTTTGGGATTTGGGGTTTGGGGTTTGGGGTTACAGTTGCAAGAATGAAAGCACAACAGCACCCCGCCCTTAGTCTGCTAACCTCTTTAAGGTATACCGGCGACCCCAAACTGTCCAATTCGTATTTGAAGAACCCATACGGTCACTTCTCCAAAATATGGCCTCTTGGTTACTACTATAAGGTGGGTGGCCCCTGTTTTCGGGGCACCCAAAAACGGGACCCGGGACCCTAAACCCTAAACCCTAAACCCTAAACCCTAAACCCTAAACCCTAAACCCTAAACCCTAAACCCTAAACCCTACGCCCTACGCCCTAAACCCTAAACCCTAAACCCTAAACCCTAAACCCTAAACCCTAAACCGACCATAACTGCGAGAACTCACCATATTTCCATGGGATTCCAGACGGCCCTCATGAACCGCGAATGTTTTGCGGAAGGCTCTTGTGGAACAAACCTGCACCTGCATGCTCAACTCCCTAAGGGTTGGGTTTGGGGCTTTGGGTTTAGGGTTTGGGGTTTAGGGTTTGGAGGTTAGGGCCAAGACCGACGATCTCCCACACCCCCAAACCACCCCTCCTGGAGCTCTTCGAAAATTAGCCCGCTCAACCCTCCCAGTGAAGAGTTGCTTGGTTCTTCCGTTTCTGTCTTCCATGCTGCAAGCGACGACAACCTGAAGACCTATACGAAAACCCTACAGAAACCCCGTATAGGCCTTGCTCTAGGGTTCGGGCACTTACTTTGGGTCCCTTGTTATAGTACCCTTCTAATCACTATGCATAATAAGAGCACTTAGTTAGGGTCCCTTGTTATATAACCCTTATAATCACCATGACTTCATGTGGGTCCCTTGTTGTATAACCCTTATAAAAACTCTGACTTAATGTGGGTCCCTTGTTATAGAACCCTTATAATCACTCTGTATAACAAGAGCCCCTGACTACGGATCCCTTTAAGGAAGGGCAAGGGGCCATACTAAGGGCCCATGGTTGCGACCTCAGATTTGAGCCCTAAGCCCGAAGCCCTAAACCCTAAACCCCAAACCCCAAAGCCTAAACCCTAAACCCTAAACCCTAAACCCTAAACCCTAAACCCAAAACCCTAAACCCTTGCGCCCAGGACGGAGATGAGCGCGATCCTCGACTTCACGAAAGGCTTGGAGGCTGAGTGCCTGGTCACGCCGGAGTCCTTCGCGGAGAAGCATCTCGGGCCTAGCTTTGTTTAGGGTTTAGGGTTTAGGGTTTAGGGTTTAGGGTCTAGGGTTTAGGGTTTAGGGTTTAGGGTTTATTCAGGTTTAAGGATCCCAAAACCCCAAACGTTCAGAAGGTGCTGAGTCCCTCCCCCCCAAAGCCTACACCCTACACCCCAAAGCCCATGCCGTAACCTAGTGGACCATTTTCTGGAAGAACCTATGCTTGATTTGGTGGCTTTTGTTGAAAACGGAACGCATCATGTTAGTGTCTGAACCGGACACTCAAATGGCAAATGCTTCAAGAGCCCCAAAGCCTTCCAATCCCCTTCAGCCCTAAACCCCAAACCCTAAACCCCAAACCCTAAACCCTAAAACCCTAAACCCTAAACCTCGACCCTAATCCCGAGGCAGGCCAAGCGCCAGCAGGAAATCGATGGCTTGAAGGAGGCCCTCACGGCCTTGGACGCTCCTTGGGTCGGTTGTTGAGGATTTTGGGCGATTGGGGGTCTAAACCCTAAACCCTAAACCCTAAACCCTAAACCCTAAACCCTAAACCCTAAACCCTAAACCCTAAACCCTAAACCCTAAACCCTAAACCCTAAAGCCTAAACCCTAAACCCTAAACCCTAAACCCTAATCAAACCCTACTGGGGGATGTCACTTCCCGAAATCTGCAGGTGAAGGGTTAAGGGTTCAGGGCGGACTTTGACGGTCTGCATGGCAATGCTGAGGCCTGCATGGCAATGCTGAGGCTTTGGGGGTAGATGCAAAAGCATCTTTTCGGTGGGGGGGACCTTCTTTTTGCTACAGGGGCCAAGTCCGAGGCACCCCCCTGTCCCACAGCAGAAGCCTAGACCTGTAAACCCTAACCCGAAACCCTAAACCCTGAAAACCTGAAACCCTGAAACCCTGAAACCCTAAACCCTAAACCCTAAACCCTAAACCCTAAACCCTAAACCCTAAACCCTAAACCCTAACCCCTAAACCCCTAAACCCTAAACCCTAAACCCTAAACCCTAAACCCTAAACCCCTAAACCCCTAAACCCCTAAACCCCTAAACCCCTAAACCCCTAAACCCCTAAACCCTGCACCCTAGACGCCGTAACCTCCCCCCAAGGCTACTGCTGGGCCTGCCCTGCTCCAGCGCGGAACCCGGGCCCTCAGGGGCCACGGGGTGCTGAAGGCCTAGGGCTGTAGGGTTTCGGGCAAAAAGGCTTGAGTATTTTTAGTAGGGGATCTATAGGTTCTTTGTGGGGTTCATAAGGTTATTTCTGTGGTTTATAGGGGTTTTAGGGTTTTTTTGAGGGTTTTTAGGGGTCTTTAGGGATTAGGGCCTAGATGGAGGACGGTCTTCAGCCGCCGCGCGGACGAAAAAAGGAAGGGCAGGATGAGTGCGTGTGGTCGGGCCCCACGACCTTCGATCACGACCCAACAAGACGTTTAGGGTTTAGGGTTTTAGGGTTTAGGGTTTAGGGTTTAGGGTTTTAGGGTTTAGGGTTTAGGGTTTAGGGTTTAGGGTTTAGACCTATGTGTGGGGGCTTCCGAAAGTTGGGGGGGTTCCCGCAATCCGGGATATAGTTGGGATGTGTTCGGGGTGCCCCAATATGGGAAAGCTCAAGTCCTGAGGTGTCTTTTTGGGGGGCGCCGCGGGGCACGCAGGGTTTTGGGTTCTGGGACTTGGGATGTTGCCCCTTATACTAACCGTCCTCAATGGGGATTGTAATAGGGGGTACTATCATCGCTATTAAGGACTGTTAGCATAAGGGGGAACATCCCAATCTGGGACCTATAAACCCTCACAAGATAGATCTCAAGCCCCCAGCCGACTCCTCGACCCTCTGCCTCAAAGCTTTGGGGCCCGGTTCAGGGATTCGGGGTTGGAAAAAAAGGGCTTTCACCCTAGACCCTAGACCCTAGACCCTAAACCCTAAACCCTAAACCCTAAACCCTAAACCTGTAGGGTTTAGGGTTTGGGGCTTTAGGCTTTTTTTAGGGTCGTTTGAGGATTTGTCGGGGTCTCGAGCCGCCCGAGGATCTGGGCGGCGGGAGCAGCTTGAGCAGCGACTTCTTCGGAGGCGGCCGTTGGAAGCCGGGGAAGCGCCCTAAACCCTAAACCCTAAACCCTAAACCCTAAACCCTAAACCCTAAACCCTAAACCCTAAACCCTAAACCCTAAACCCTAAACCCTAAACCCAACAACCCTAAACCCAACAACCCTAAACCCTAAAACCTAGAAAACGCCCGGCACCTCCAAAGCACAAACCCCGAACCGGGCCCCAAAACATTACATTGATGAACCCTCTCAGAACTGACAAGGGAGTTCGGTACCCTGCATGACTCCTTAAGGGGCCTTATCTAAGGGGGGATGCAATGTGCCCAATTCCCTCATTCCCCCAACGAAGAATCAGGAGGTTGACCCCTGAGATGCTAAGCCCAAAGCCAGGGGATTTCCGGAGAAGCGGCATGTGGGTTTGGCTCGGCGCGTCGTGCACAGATTCCACGAATTCAGGTCTCTTGAGGAATCAGGGGAACCCTAAACACTAAACCCTAAACTTGCCCTAAACCCTAAACCCTAAACTTGCCCAAAGCCCCAAACCCTAAACCCCAAACTTACAGCCCTAAGCTCGAAACTCCAAAATGGGGACCCGGCTTTAGAGTTTCGACTCAGGGTTCAGGAGTTTAGGGTTTAGGGTTTAGGGTATGATGGGTGATCGGGACCCCTAGGCCCCTTGTCAACCCACAACCCCTTGCACCCGGCTGAGCTGGGAACCGGCCACCCTAACCCTAAACCCTAAACCCTAAACCCTAAACCCTAAACCCTAAACCCTGAACCCTAAACCCTAAACCCTTTTACTTTCAAAAGGCGGCTCCCTCGGTGCCAGGCACGGAAAACCACATCTGGCAGCAGCTGCAGTCGGAGAAGTGCGTCCTGCCCCACAGCTGCGATGGAGCCTGTCGGCTTTGGGCTTCGGGCTACACCCGAAGCCCTAAACCCTTAAACCCTTAAACCCTTAAACCCTAAAACCCTTTTGCACAACCCTAAAACCCTAAACCCTTAACCCTCAACCCTTAAACCCTAAACCCTATACCCTAAACTCTAATCCGGTCTTATCCCGTGTGTTTTTTTGTGATTGGGGCGGGGGGGGGGGGGAGGGGTTGACCTCTTATCCTAAACCCAAACCCCAAACCCTAAACCCTAAACCCTAAACCCTAAACCCCAAGCCCCAAACCCCAAACCCTAAACCCTAAACGCTAAACCCTAAACCCTAACCCTAAACCCTAAACCCTAAAGTTGGGGGTTTTGACCTCTCAGGGCCGCTGACGGGCAGTGGCTGGAGCCCCCGCGCAGCTTCCAGGCGCCCTCAGCTGCTTGGCACGGCCTTTTTGTAGGGTTTAGGGTTTAGGGTTTGGGGTTTAGGGTTTAGGGTTTGGGGTTTAGGGTTTAGGGTTTGGGGTTTAGGGTTTGGGGTTTAGGGTTTCTGGTTTGGAGTTTAGGGTTTGGGTTTGGGGTTTGGGATTTAGGGTTTGGGGTTTAGGGTTTGGGGCTTGGGGTTTAGGGTTTGGGAAAAAGGGTTTTGGGAAAAAGGGTTTAGGGTTTCGGGTTTAGGGTTCGGGGTTTGGGAATTGGTGTTTGGGGTTTGGTGTTTTGGGTTCCCCCAAACCTAGCTGTCCTAAACCCTAAACCCTGGACTCCTAAATCCCTGGGGCTCCCTCCTTGTACTAGCAGTCCTTAATAGGGATTATAGTACCCCCCTCCTTTCATAATCTCGTCTTAGGCCCATACAAGGGGGAACATCCCCAGATACTCTCCTAAATCTCCAAAAGGCTCTTCGGACTTGGTTCCTGTGGATGTGGGTGTGAGTGCGCTTGTGTGCGTTCGTCTCTGTGTGTGTGTGTGTGTGTCCGTTCGTTCGTTTGTTTGTTTTGTGTTTTTATTGTGTTGGTTGTTCGTGTGTTTTTTTTGTGTTTGTTTGGGGCTTGTTTGTGTTTGTTTGTGTGTTGCCCAGTGCCCTGAACCCCTAAGAATATCCGGCCGCGGGGGCACGGGGGGGAGGCGGGTAGGGGGAAGGGGGCGGGCAGGGAGCAACATGCGCTTCTGACCCTGATGCATCGGCCGCCGCGGGACACCGGTTGGTTTGGGGTTTACGGTTTAGGGTTTAGGGTTTAGGGTATTTTGGCGGGGTAGGGGTAACTTTGCAAGGTTCCAGGATCTCAAACCTCTCAGGCCTCCGGCCTCAGAAGATTGCACCATGAACATAAACGCTGAGCCCTAAAACCCCTTACAGCGTCTACAAAGGGAGGACATAAGGTGCCGAAGTCCTTCGCCCCCTACTCAGAACCAGTAGGTTTTGCTTCAGACATTTGAGGTTCCTTAAGTGGGCCTATGGGGATCTCTGGCCTGGTCCTCTAAGCTTGGGGTCTTTAGGGGGTATTGGGGTTTAGGCTTATGACGCGCCCGACAGCTGGACCGAGTACGTGAGAGCGAGAGGGGGCCGTCGAAGGGCTTAGGGCTGCGAAAGGTCCGTCCTACCCGGTAGTGGTCAGCTCCTCGGCTAAAAGCCGACACTAAACTCCTGAAAGTTGGGACATGGTTTAAGGATTGAGCTGGGATTCCCTGTAGTAGACCGTTTGGGGTATGCGGATAAGGATGCTCCAACTTTATTAAAGTTTTCCGTGAGTTGACGTGTGCCCCCGAGGAGGTGGACATGAAGAGCGTGGTCACGCCCGAACTGCTCGCTGAGTTCCACGAGGGCCTCCGTCACGCGGGTGCCAGTTTTTGGGGGACCTAGGGCCTAGGGTTCACGGCTCTGAGCTGGGATGATCTCCCCCTTCTACTAACACTTGGACCGGGAGTCGGCCCCTCTTTCCATTTTTGAGGGTTGGGGTTCCTTTATAATCCCCTTATAAGCAAAAAGGGCACCCTTTTTATTCCTAGGTTACTCCCAGGTCCCCAGAGAGCCCAATACCCCTCAATTAAGGAATATACCCTAAATTATATAGGGGCCCTTAATATAATTTAAGGCATATTGCT